GTGCATCTTGTGCTTTTACTTTTAAGGAGTAAAAGAAGCAAAACATAAATCAAAATTTTTTAATTAGTATTTAAATAATGCATGAAAAAGAGCTTTTTTATTTCAAAAGAGATTTTGAACATGTTTGTCAAATAAGTCAAAAACACTTATTGTTATAAAAAATAATGTAATAAAATGATATGAATGAAAATTTTAATTTGTTGTTTACAAATAAAAGGTTAAAAAAATGCTTTTTATAAAAGTTGAAAACACTTTTATCTTATCTTGTCAATCTAAACAGATAATAAAATGATATGAATGAAAATTTTAATTTGTTGTTTACAAATAAAAGGTTAAAAAAAGGTTTTTTATAAAAGTTGAAAACACTTTTATCTTATCTTGTCAATCTAAACAGTTTGAAAAACAATTTTTAGACTAAATAAACCCAAATCTTCTTTTTTTAAGTCAATTATTAATTCCATTATGGGCTTTCTGTAATGCATTCAGTGATTACAAATTACAATGTCCCAATATTTAACAACCAAAAAATAGTAATCACCTGTCTTGTGCAATATCGTCCTTAACCTTCAAAACGAATTGTATATCTTTCACTCCATGTATCTTTAGACCAATCTTTCTTTATCTAAATTCTAGCATCATGATATCTTTAGACCGATCTCTCTTGTGAATAAATAATCTATTGTACTATCCAACTCCAAATTTGAGAAGTGAAAATTACAGCAGTCGCATTAGAGGTTAAACTTGTAATTTTGTCAACATCTGTACTTCTCCCATATTATCCTATTTTCAAATTTAGTTTGATTCAAAAGCGTACATCATTTGGTGCTGACTTAGATCATCAAACTACACCAATTCAGAATTTAGAGAGAGAGAGAGAGAGAGAGAGAGAGAGAGAGAGAGAGAGAGAGAGAGAGAGAGAGAGAGAGAGAGAGAGAGAGTAAACTTGTAATTTTGTCAACATCTGTACTTCTCCCATATTATCCTATTTTCAAATTTAGTTTGATTCAAAAGCATACATCATTTGGTGCTGACTTAGATCATCAAACTACCCCAATTCAGATGAAATTCTTCTTTATTTAATATTACAGAAGTCTACTAATATTTATTCCACTTAAAACAAATAAAGCTAAGGTCAAGCTCATTTTGGGCATTCCAATCGTGTCGGTCTAGGGAAAAAACCAGAAATATTACTGAAAATGATAAAAAGAATATCATGTATCTCACTCCATTCAAAAATACACAATTGTCATTCAGATTGTGTCTTCTTTTTAGCACCAATCACCTTTTATTTCTGGTGCCAATTGGCTCGCTAATGTAATCTGGACAATAATCTACCAGATATGATTTGATCTTATTAGCATTCATGGGAAAAAGAGACAAAGAGGGCATGAATTTAGATTTTTATCTTTTACTCTTAAATAATATTATATTTAGTCAAATAACTATATTAGTCAAAAATGTATTAATTAATATTAAAGAGTAAAAATCTAGGCTCATGTACTTTAAAAGTAAGTTTAACAATTTTCTGATCATGTCATTGCTAAATGTAATCTCCATAGTAACCTATTTAATTAACATTAGTAATCTATGAGATTATATCTTCTTCTCAACACCAATTACCTTTTGTTTCTAATGTCGATTGGCTCGCTAGTGTAATCTGGTAGGTTAAGGTCAGTAATCTACAAGATATGATTTGATCTTATTAGGAAAAATACATCATATAACATATTTTATACTTATATTTGAAGTGAATAACATATTTTTTAAATGATAGTAAATTATAGCACATTCTAATTGTACTTTTAAAATAGATATTTTTATTTTTAATTTTATCCTTTTTCAGATCTAATATCAAAATACTAACCCTAATTTAATTTGACGTTTAATTCACAGATTTAGAACTATTATCAGTTTATGTGTATTTTTTATGAAAAAAAATATTATAACGAGTCACGAACTATGATTTGAACCATGACACGAATCTTTATACCAAACACCCTATAAGGGTACGTTTGGTTCATATTAGAATTATGAGATTAGAACCATTTTTTATTTACGTGTATTTTTTATAAGATAAAACACTGTAACGAATTATGAACCATAATTTAAATTATGGTATGAATCCCCTTACCAAACGTCTCCTAAATAGATGAGAATATGGGATTGATGTTGTGATATGAGGTCTAAAGGGGAAATACATAGTGTGCTTTTCTTTGTTAGTTTTCAAATAAATATGGTAAATATGATATTTACCGATAAATATGATATTTATCAGTAAATATGCTATTTATTAATTGCCGGAGCCGATTGTCGAATTTTTCAACAAATATGTAAATATGATATTTAGTAGTAAATACTATATTTATTTGTAAATACGGTATTTACCAGTCGCTAGAGATGGTAGCTGAATTTTCAGACAAATATGGTTAATATGGTATTTATCAACAAATACAGTATTAAACGATCGTCGGAATCAATGTTCGGATTTTCAGATAAATATGATATATACTAGTAAATATGATATTTACCGATAAATACAATGTTAAATAGTCGCCGAAGTCGATAGTCAGATTTTGAGTAAATATGATATTTACTAGTAAATACGGTATTTTACTGGTAAATACGGTATTTACGGTCGTCGGAGTCAGTGCTTGAATTTTCGGATAAATATGATATTTACTAGTAATTACGATATTTATTGGTAAATACAATATTAAATACAACGTTTAATAAATACTGTATTTACCTATAAATATAACATTAAATGGTCACCAAAATGGATGGTCCGTTTTTTAGAGAAATATGATATTTACTAGTGAGTACAATATTAAATGGTAAATACGGTATTTACTGGTAAATACAGTGTTAAACGGTCGCGAAAAAACAGTCTCTGAAAAACATTCACAGGTCGCCGGAGCTCATTACCGGAGCTAGCCGCCAATCCCGACCATGGTGGACTTGACTATAATCTACCTATTTAAAAAAAAATGCTATAATTTACTATTTAAAAAAATAGATGTTTAGAAGGGAGGAGTAAGGTGAAAAGATGTTTAGGGGTATTTTTGAGTTTTTAATAATGTTTAAAACTTAAAATATCAAATTATGCTATAATTTACTATTTTTAAAAAATATACTGTAATTTACTAATCACTTTACTAATTATGTTATTTTCCTTCTTATCCTTAATAATCATTTATTACTAAATGCAATCTCTATAGTAATCTATTGAATTAACATCAGTAATCTACCAGATTATGGCTTAGTTTGGTATTGTTGTAGATTTTGAAAAAATTGCTTTTAGCTGTGCTAAAAGAAAAAACAACTGTTATAAAAAGTAGCTGAGTGTTTGGTAAACTATAATTATAGTAATTGTGTTGATTCTAAAATCAGTGTAACAGCGTTTAATAAATTATGAAGTTGAATTGATAGTTAAAAATTACGATTATATTATATTATACTATAATATAATATATATAATTACAATATAATATATATTTATTATTATATTTAATATAATAAAAAAACTCTTATTATATAATGTGTTAATAATTATGATATAGAATATAATAATAATATTAAAATATTAATTGAAATAATTAAAAATAATGATTATATTATATTATACTATAATATAATATATATAATTATAATATAATGTATATTTAATATTATATTTAATATAATAAAATTAAACTATTATTAAATAACATATTATATGATATAGAATATAATAATATTATTAAAATGGTTAATATAATGACAATATTATAAAACATATTATAATATTACATAAGATATTTCAGTTATATTAAACAAATATATTATATAATATACACTATAATATATAATATTATAATATTAGAATTATAAGATTATATTATATTTGTAATGACTGAGAAAATTTCAGACCTTAAATAATACAATTCATGTATTTTTAAGCCAAGGATTTTCTTAGAAAATATTATGTTATATTGTGAATGGAGGATTTATGGAATTAATATATGTATTCCTAAATTCTATAG